TATAGTAGTTTATATGCAGATCGTGTAACCGTATTTTACAATCACGTGATTTATGGGGACTGGCGATATATCGCCATAGTGGTATTTTATAAAATCCTAAATTAAATTATTAGTGAGTAAGTATAAGATATTTTACAAATTGGAATAATTTATAATTAAAAAAACTTTTCTAATCAATTATATATAAATTAAATTAGCCCGTAAGTATAAAATTATTTTGCAAATTAGAATATTCTATAATTGAATAAAACTTCTCTAATCAATTATATATAAATTAAATTATCAGAGGGTGAATATAAAAATTATTTACAAATTAAAATAATCGATAATTAAATAAATTTTCTAATTACATAAAACTAAATTACTAGATTGTGAGTATAAAATTATTTGATAAATTAGAATTTTAAAATAATCTATAATTAAATCAAATTTCTCTAATCATTTATATATAAATTAAATGATTAGTTAATATTAGTAAGTACAAGAATTATTTACCCATTAGAATTTGCCAATAATCTATAATTAAACTTCTCTAATCAATTATGCATAAATTAAATTATTAGGTAGTGCAGGTAAGTGCAAAATTGTTTTACAAATTAGAACAATCGAGAATAAACTTCTTTAATAAATTATATATAAATTAAATTATTAGAAAATGAAAGTAAGTGCATAATTATTTTACAAAGTAGAATAATCGATAATTGAATAAAACTTCTTTAATTAATTATTAATATATATAAATTAAATTATTAGATCGTAAGTATAGAATTATTTTATAGATTAGGATTTAAAATGATTTACTAAATAATTACATATAAATCAAATTGGATAGCTATCAGGGACACAAAAATATTTTCGTATTGACGAGTGTACCAAGTGACCTTGGGAGTCACCAATTAGAGCAAAAATTTCTATAAAAATTTTTTGTACGTTAAACCGTACGGTTTAAAGGATAAGAGATAAATGCAAACACCTTAATCATACGTGTTTGTTTTATGCCCTGATGAGTTGCATAGTGAATTTATAAATTTTACATTTAAGATAAAAGGCACAAGATTCAGCAACATCAAGATATTAAGAGTATACTATCTATAAATTTATTCAAATAATCTCGCGTCTTCATTAATATCATTTTCAGGAAGTTCTTCAATTTCATTATCGTCATAGTCATTTGCTTTGCTTCCATCTCTCGAGTCATCTTGAATATCAATGATATCATTTTATTTGGAATTTGTTTTGCATTTAATTGTGACTATAAAAAGTAAATACTTAATAATAAAATAATATTAAAACTCAAAGTATAATTACAAAAAATATATACCAGAAAGATAGCACAATGTTTTTTAATGGCATCTTCAGCACATCGAATATCTTTACCATGTGGATTTAAAACAATACAACAGACTGCAAGTGCAAAGGCAATTATTGTTGGTGTTACACAGTCTTCTTTGGACTCTTTCGGCATAGTCTTCATGATGATTGTATTAATTGTTGTGAGTTCATTATCGTCCACTTCCCACAATCTATTATATGCCTCAGAGACTTGGGGATTTTTCTTCCACTCTGCAATTTTTGTACCCGCATTTGTTTTTATTTCTGGAACTTCTGGGAAAACTTTAAAAAGCGCAAGCTGTATATCTTTAACGAAGGCACTTTGATGATGCCTCATTTTTTCAAGACACTATAAAATCTAAATTAAAAATCAATTATAAAATTAATTATTACAAATGAATATACTAACAATAGATAAAAACTCAGAATAAAATCAGGAATCTTATCTACCTTCACCTATATTCTTTATAAACTCTTTAGATCATTTTTCAACATAAATCTCAAGATGTTCTTTAAATAATTCTGTGGCAGAATATAATGATATCTTCTGAACTTCCTTAGTAATTGTCATGATACCTGTAATAATTCATGTAACCCATTTGAACAATGTAATGTATAATTATTTAATAAAGACTGAGACCAGGCCTTACTCTTAAAAAAAAAAAAAAAAAAGTAATTCTCATGATATATTTCTATTGTTAATAAAAGCAGAAATAATAAAACAAATTCTTAATACTTTTATTTAAATATAATTCAACATGAATACCAATGGTGTCAAAAAAAAATTTAACTAGCTGTTATCTCAAAGAAGGCAGGTGATAAACTATCTTCTTATTGTAATTTTAAAATAATTTTATTATTTCCTCAAGTTTTTTTGTTGTTTGAGTTGATTTTTCCAAACAACCTTATTTTAAGCATTAAGTTTTTCTAAAAATGCTAAAAAAATCAACTAATAATCGTCATGATTTTCTAAAAAAAAAAAAAAACTAGCAACAAAATTTTAATATTGAATTCAATAAATATTAAATTATATATTACCTGCAACAATCTTTTTGGATAGTTTTATTTGCTCAATATTAACTGTATTATTATTTTGTCTATATTTTCTTGAAAAAGAATCTTGATCATTATATCTATATTCATTAATATTATCATCACCAGTAGAATAACCATTATCACTATTGCTTCTTTTATTATTATCAATATTGTTATCATTAACATCTTTTTCTCCTTGACAATCAATATCTTTTTCCCTTTGGCAATTATCTTCCCCTTGACAATCATCATTGTTACTTCTTTCACCATGATTATCTTCAATATCAACTTCAATATCATCATCTTCAATATTATCATCTTCAGTATCATCATCTTCAGTATCATCATCTTCAATATTATCATCTTCGATATTATCATCTTTGTTACAATACATTCATACTTTATTTGCCTTTATTTACAATCACTAAGACTTTAAATATTTTATATTAACTTTATATTTTTAATACAAAACATTTATTAATATCAAAAAAAAGTAATCTA